AGTAATGCTGAGTGTATTGAAAGTGATCAAATATACTGGTAAAATCCCCTTCAAGTTCTTAATGACCATACCACATGTTACTTTATGTAGTTTTACGCTAAAATTCTAAAATAAGTGATTAAATGTAGATATTTCATGCATTATAGTATGTTATAGTAAAAAACGTATGTAGAATAAGTGTTATTCCTTTATGAACTAAAAATTTTACCGAAGTGAGCTAAATGCTAGCTGTAATACTAAACCACTCCTTCATACGTCATGAGCGCATCAAAGTTAATTTGAGACGCTATAGACACGTTGTAATTAAATCTAATCCAAGAAACTGTTTGTTTACTATTCAGTAAAAAGCTGTGCAGTGCCCTTTGTAGGGATTTCGCCCTGAATTTTAGCGTTATATTAGCTCAAGCTTACAGCTGTGCCACCAGAGAGCAAACACAATAACAATGTATTATAAAAAAAATTAAATATATTAGTCTTTAGAGTTTAAATAATGCTGCAAGGAATCACTTATAATTTATATTAATTGCTTTTATAAGAACCACACTGAAATGATTCTTAAAAACAAGACATTAATTAATATTTTGAATTATTAACAAATGTTCTGATACTTACGTGAGAAAATAACTTAATATTTTATGTTGGAGAGAAATGTTCAGAATTTGGCATCTAATTATGACATGGTATTTTCTGCTATTTACAATTAATTTGCGAGACAAATGTTTAAAGAAAGAGAACAAAGCTAAAATGATATATTTTACACTAAAAGTTTGGGGAGGTGTAGCGAAAAGCCTAATAGCTCCCACCATCGACTACGTCTGTATCTGATGTATAGTAGTGTCTGGTTATTGTTAAGTGAAAAGTTACACCATAGATTATTTGTGCTCTGCCCACCACGGGTTTGGAAACCAGATTTTTAACGGAGGGGATATCTGATGTCTGTTTGATATAGTAAATATTCTTTTTTATATTGCTACACAAAAACAAAATGAATAATTAAATAAGTTCAACTAACTGTTTCCACAATTCTCAATCTAGCAGGACCAAACTTGGCAGGCGAACTCGGGTGACCCTCCGAGGGTGTCTTTATTTATGCGTTGTAGTTCCCTACCAAGGAATCCTAAACACTTATGTAATATCACCCAGGCATAATGGGGTCTAAAAGTAGGTTTCAAGGTTGTTGAACGCTAATCTTGGCCCCAAATTGCCATATATGGACAGGTACCAAGGGCGGGTGACAAAACTTTTTTTTTTTCAGGTACGGACCCCTTCGGGGAGCTATAAAAGTAATCGTGGACAACGGAGGAGCTTGATCGGTAATGTGGGTCTTCTGTGAATCATGAAGGGTTCGTCGCACCGAAGCGCGAATATTTTATGCTAGTTTATAAATTTTTTCTATATCTATTATAGAAGGCCCAAGGTCTTTATTATGCAGTGACGGGTTACCAACTGAAGGGAAATTTGGCCATGTGATAAGATCATGATAAAAATGAATATTTTAAAATCTCAAGTTATTATTTGTAATTTAAAATAACGTTGCAATTAAAGTAAAAGTCGCATATTTTAATTGAATAAGCTGCATTTCAAGAATATTTAGCCTTTTAAAATTGTTGTCGAAATCGAAAAAAATTATGAATTAAAAAAAACAATGAAATAATTACACAGGCCTGCGATGGTTTTATTGTCTTGAAATACAGTAATTCCTGTACACTGAATCCGAAAATGATATCCATTTTTCTCCGTCACGTACAGTTTGTTTGTTTGTTTGTAATTAAGCACAAAGCTACACAATGAGCTATCTGTGCTCTGCCGACCACGGGTATCAAAACCCGGTTTCTAGAGTTGTAAGTCCGCAGACATACCGCTGTGCCACTGGGGTAGCTATCTGCAGAGTAGCGCCACTGATGTTCCCAGTAAGAAATGTGTTTCCTTGTATTTCCAAAACATATTTATACCAGGGAACTACAAGATATTTACTAAATATCCTTGTCAGATAAAAAATACGGTGTTCTTGTTTTGTCTTGTAAAGAATAATATATTCAAATATGTCACTAATTCTGCCATATCTAGTGCTGACGAGGCCTTTTGCACAACATCAGGGCTCATCAGGCCGGCTAGGATACGAGAGACATACTAGTGGTCTAGGCGATATTTATATCACCAGTTTGCATGAACACTGACTGTTATGGTGTGAACTAGATTAAGAAAGTGAATTGTATTAATTATTATTTTTGTTGTATGTTAGGATATCAGCGTGAAATCGATAACCACCACTCATAGACCAGGGTAATCTTTGGATAAAATTTTAAACCATACTAACAGTATTCATGATTATCCAAATTTTAAGTGAGCTCAGTCATCAGGGAAACAGCGATTGTTCGGTCATGATCAGGGTATTTTCTTTCAGTGACGTAGCTTGTCCCCCCAAAAAGGTAACAACAACATGTTAATATGCATGAGTGATAGGTGTTTTATCATTTTCAATAGTTTAACGTAAATAATAGTAGCTATAGTTGTAATTCAGTTAAAATGTTATCATAATGAGTTGTAATTCAGTTAAAATGTTATCATAATGTATTGCTTTTGTCCTATTTTGGTTGAAACAATTCTCTTGCAGTATCTTATAATGCGTTTTGATTATGCATAGTGATACACAAATAGGAAGAGAAATTTGGGTTCCTTATATTCTCACAATGTTTCACTGAACTTTATTGATTAGATTAATTGACAGAACAACAGATATAGTTTACACCATCTTAAAATCATTTGCATTTGGCCAAATAGTAATAGATCATGTAAGAGTATTAGGACATAAGTGATAGGAATGAGTAGCTTTGCACCTTTTCATAAATACGATGAAAACAGAAAACCACTTAACATAAGCTGGGAGTAATCAGAAGTACCTAAAAATGGTTAAAGATATAATTATAACCAGATCAAGTAAACAAGATGGAATTGTACATTTGAGAAAAAAAAAGATTATATTAATAAACTTCAAGTTATTTTAAAAGATCAAATTAAATTTAAGAAATTGGAGAAGATCCTACGAAAATAAGAGTATTTAATTTATAAAAGTATTTATTAAATCTAAAGAAACAAAGAATGAATGTAAATTGTTAAAATCGACAGGATCGCATGCAGATATTTTACATGGGTTACTTAAAGTACATAATGAATGATGTCCAATAAGACTGATTGTATCTAATATTGGTACTTATCATGAACTGACAATATTTTTTGTAATATATATTAAATCATTAAATATTAATGAATTTACTATTCCAAACAGTTTATAGTTTGTGATGGAAATAAAAAACTTAAATTTTGGAAATAGTGTTTGTCGCGAGAGCTTTGATATTAAATTATTATTCACAAGTATACCTTTGGAAGAAACATTCGCTATAGTAGTTGATTTGGTTTATAATCAGGAAACCAAAATTAATTTGTGATTAACCAATAAATATATGATCACACAGAAGGCGTTGCTATGGGATCTAGATTAGCAGCACCAGTGTTTATTAATATGTCCTTAAGTTATTATGAAAAACGTTGTATGGATGGGTGTTTTGAACAACTTAAACCCATACACTAAAAATGATTTGTAGATGACACTTTTATTGTCTTTAAACAGAAATAACATATACAGAGAAACATACTATTTACAGTATAAAAGTAAGTAATTTATAAGTGATCATTTCTACATATATTGATTCAAAATGAGAATAGGAGTTTTAGAAAGAACATATACAGAGAAACATACTATTTACAGTATAAAAGTAAATAGTTTATAAATGATCATTTCTACATATATTGATTCAAAATGAGAATGGGAGTTTTAAATGTGAAACATATAATAAAAAATTACAGGTTTATATTTTAATTGCGATAGCCTTACTACTGAGTTATGTAAGTAAATTTAATTAGGAATTTAGTACTTAGAGCGTACAATATCAATAGTACCTTTATAAGTTTAGCAAAGGTTTAACTAAATTGAAATGTTCTTGATAAAAAATTAATTTGCATGTAAACTTATAAACTTATTAAGAACTATTTTTCCACAGAGATAAATATTGCAGACAATAAACAGAAATAGTTTATTTCTTTACCTTTTACAGTAACACAATATTTTGAAATTAAAAAAAAAAATTAATCGAATACTTGGAAGGACATATCCACAAGTGGAGTTAATGTTTGTATAAAAACCGATACGTAGAATTAAATATTTCTTTTACTGTGAAAGATAGAATATCAAAATTGCTGAATTGTAAAATTGGTTATTACTATGGATGTCCTAGATGTAATTCTAGGTACATATGTTTTCCAATGAAAACTTTAGAATCCAGGATTAAATAACATTGATTTAAGATTGTCAAAGCAGTCAAGAATTAAACAACACGCATTAAGTAAATGTGATGAACCATGAAATAGAATTTATTATGGAATTCCTGCTCAGGCTAACGATTAATGACAGTTAAAGTTTAAAGGGTGAAACCGGAATTATATGAAATGAATAGTGCTAAAGAAATGCTGTTGATATTATTGATGTCTTTACTGATCATTTCTGTTTTAGGAAATATAAAATAGCTGAAAGAAAAATACATGAAATGTTTGAAAAGTGCAAAGATAATTTGCCTTGCTAAACTTTCCCTTTTGGATGCTGAACAAACCTGTGAAAACCATATATTTTTAGAAACATGGGGTTATTTCGCATTGTGAGGCTAGAAAGAGAGACGATTATAGATGTACTTTCTACAACGAAAAATCGTGTATTCATTAAAAGAAGATATTATATAATAAGCATCCTTTAATGTCATTTACTTTTCCATACAAGAATAAACACAGGGTTCTTCAAGATGAGACAAGAGTAGGTGGAATGTATTGTTAACTAGCTCTGCTTTCCCTGTAGCTTGTCAGATCAAAATTAGGAACGGCTAAGCACATTTACTTTTCTATACAAGAATAAACACAGGGTTCTTCAAGATGAGACAAGAGTAGGTGGAATGTATTGTTAACTAGCTCTGCTTTCCCTGTAGCTTGTCAGATCAAAATTAGGAACGGCTAAGCACAGGTAACCCTTTTGTAGCTTTACGGAATAATTTTGAAACAATCAAAAGTTTATTAGTGTTATTTGGAAGAGAAAAGCAAGAGTCTAAATTTACTGACGGGCATTTCGTTAACGGAATGATTCTGCTGAACTACGACCGGCAAGTTACGGGCTCATCATCAACATCGACGGACCCACACTTGACGACACCAACGGCAAGCACATTTTCAGTCACGTCAGTAGCTACAAAAAACTGGGATCGTTCATTACCAGTAAGTGAATCTACAGTGTATGTGCACTTATTCGAATATATCTACTGCAGCATACTGTTTCTGCGCTAGTGTTAATGTACATACTTAGTTTGTCTTATTACGGGTGGCATCATGGTTTCAGGTCACATAAGACCACAGAAACTAACGGCGAACATAGGTAAGGTGATATAGTACTATTACGCCACGACTTAAAATACAAACTTGAATAGAAAAAAGCTGTAAAAACTGCAATAATCTCGAGCTCTGTGTGTGTTACTTAAACCTTACTGTACAATCATTTGACTAAACTTTCCTAGATATAGAAAATTAACAGTAGGCCTTATTGGCAGATATTGTTTGTACCACCGAAATCCTACTGTATAGTCATCTGACAACTTTCCTGGATATATAACATTAAGAGTAAGTCGTATTGACAGATATTGTTTGTACCCCCGAAATCCTACTGTATAATCATCTGACAACTTTCCTGGATATATAACATTAAGAGTAAGTCGTATTGACAGATATTGTTTGTACCCCTGATATCCTACTGTATAATCATCTGACAACTTTCCTGGATATATAACATTAAGAGTAAGTCGTATTGACAGATATTGTTTGTACCCCTGATATCCTACTGT